AATAATAATAATAATAATTATTATATATATATATATATATATTTAATTATTTTAAAAAAGTATATTCCCCATTTTTTCGTTATTTTTAATTTAATATTTTATTTTAATAGTTACAATTACTAACAAATGCGTGATGCAATTTATTCAGTAACTCCCTAGGTAGGTCATATTCTCGTCCCGACTGTAATAACATTATATATATTTTATATTCATATCATAATCTTGCTTATATTTTATGGTTTATAATTTAATCTATTCAAATAAAAACCAAACACTCACTTGAAAAGGAAAAAGTATGTATATTTATTCTCATGTAAAGCTTTATCATGTTCATATTTCAGTGTTTAGTTACTGTAAGAATATTATTACTTTTATATTATTTTAGATACAACATTTCAGTTAAGTGATATAAAATAATTGCACATATAACTTTTACTTTTTCATTCAATAATTTTCTTCATACTGTATTTTTACTAAAAAAATGATAATACACATGACTACTTATAATTTATTCTATACACATTACTTTTTTATATTATAAATTTAAATATTTTTTATATAGTTTACTTTTTAATATTTCACATACAATTATCTTATATATAAAGATTAAATATTTGTTTTATCATTATAATCTATTAAAAGTTACACGTCATATAGAAGTAGTCATTACGTTTTTATTTTCAATTTACACCGCAAGTTAAAATAATACAAAATTTATAGTATACTAAATTAATAATTATTTATTTTCTTTAAATAATGCTTAATAAAAAATTTATTTAATAAAATTAATATCAATATTATTGTTCATGTCATAAATAAATTATGTATAATTATTTTATTTATAAATATATATACTACTTAGTTTATTTTATACTTAAAAATAATATAATTATTGTAATTTAAGAATTAGTTATTATTTCTTAATTTAACATTAAATTTACTATATTTAACCACGAGAGAAAAAAAAAATTAAAGAAAACATTACTGGTATATTATGTAACTCTTCTCTTATTTATTTGTTCATTGTGATTATTTTTTTTTTCTTCTTCTTTTTTCTTTCTTTCTTTCTCAAAGTATTTCTCTCTATCGTATATTATAAATATCTTCATTACATATGTCTCCAACACATCTAGAAGTTGTTATAAAGGAAAATAACAATATAAAATACAATGTTTTGTTGAGGTAAAGGTAACAAAACATTTTACTAAGATAGAAGAAAATGTTATCCTAAACACATTGAAACTGAATTAGAAGAGTAGTAATGAAAACTTTCATTATGAGAGAGTAACTATAAAAGAGCAGTGTAAAACTTTTAAGTTTATTATAGATGAAACTTCTAAATATATTAATTATTATCACAAAATTCTTAAGTTTATTGTAACAAAACAAAATAAGATTTTAAACGTATGAAAAACAATTTAAAATTATTATTAATTTATTAAATTTTAACGACGACTAAAACAATCTTAATTAAAAAATTATTATTATAACATTTTTGTAACCATATTATTTCAAGAACATATAAGTATTTATTATACTACTTAATCAAAATAAAACTTTGAAAGTATACAAATATTTTTACAAACAGCCATATAGAAAATATCTAATAACACAACTATAATAGAAAGTAAGCAAGAACTTCAGTTTGTCACGTGTAATACATGTTAAAAGCCTTTCTGTCTCATCAACATCAAATATTATTCTATAATAACTTATTTTACACTTTTTTTTCTCTATTTTTATTATAATATTTACTTTTTTTTTCTCTTTTCATATTTTCTCTCTTTTTCCCCTTCCCTTACCCATATAGGTTTAACATTTTCCCTTCTTTTTCTCTTCAGGTACAAGAATGACCATAATCATGTATATATTTTTCTCTTTGCATTTTCTCATGTTTTTTTTACCTTATTTCTTCAGCTTTGTCTTTGGTACTTTCACTCAGAGTCAGGCTAAAGCATAGCAAAAAGCTTACATTCCAAAACCTCTTATAACTTTAACATTATTACAACCTTCATAGTAATACGTGTTCTTGTACTCCAAGTCAAGGTCTTCATTTTGAGACACTTCATTTTTTTATTTTTATTTTTTACCCATTAAAAAAAAAAAAAAGCTAATTTTAAAAAAAAATTACTAGACACAATTAAGTTGTCATCCTATGGCTTAATCACAATTTCCCATTTTACAATTTTGTTCCAACCCAATAATAATTTTAAAATAATTATTTACTATAAGTCTAAAAAAAAAACATGCCTGAATTTTTGGATCAGCGAGAAGAAAACAGTGTTAAGAACGGTTTCAACAACGAAATACTAAGCCCTAAATTTGCTAAACATTAAAAAAAAAAAAGTCCAACTGATTTTTTATTCTTAATTTTTTTTTTTCAAATTTTCGTCTTTTACTCTATTTATTCTCAACTGTGCTCCCTTAACTACATGAAATACAACCTCTGACAAATTTTAAAAATAAAATAGTTTAATTTCTTTGATTAATGTTAAGAGAATAATAATATAATTTTAGTTTACTGAACAATCTTTCTTCATAACTTTTTTTATATAGTCCTCCACATATATAAATAAATTTTGGCTAAAAGATTTACCACATGTAAACATATTGTGTTTATTCGGTTTAATCATGATTTATTTATTTTCTTCTTTCTACTTAGTTTTTAAAATTTGTATGAAAATATAATAAGCACAATTATCTTAGATAAACAAAAATCAAACAATGAAAAATGAATATTTTGATAATTTATAGACATATATTTTTGTTCTTATTGGCAACAAAATGATAAATGAACATAGCACCTTACCTCAATGATCAATATGGAAAAATCTACCTGGGAACAAACAATGTTATAAGAGACTAGGTGTTCAAGTGGGCATGTGTGAAGATTGTAAAAATCAGATTTTTAAGAACCCTGACTTTATAGGAAAACACTTGATCACTGCACAATGATATATTATATTACTTACTATATCCATATTATTTTATGTTTATCGATATTTGCTAGATTAAGTGTGCCTAGTGTCTACCATCATTTGTTTTTTATTTCAGAAAATCTATTCATTCATCATACATGTACCAATCGTATGCTAATAAACTAATAAAATCATGCTGAAGAAACCATTACAAAATCAGAAAGAAGAAAATAAAACTGGTGAAGTAAAGATTCACCAAAAACAAAAAAGAAAGAGAAATAAACATGGTGGGTCTCAAATGATATATTTACAGTAATCTGTTTAACTCTCCCCATCGTACTTATCTCTTGTTACCTTCTTCTGAATTATATAAAATACTGCGTAATTTGTAATAACAAAGACAGTTCTCAGAATAGAAGAAGTTAACGGAGGTGGACGCGTTAGTAGTTAAAACTTCTCTACTCTCTTGCCGATAAAAGTGTTTTGATGGGAGAATAATACAGAAAAGATTTGGAAGATTGTGCGAAGAAGCAGAAGTAATCAATCAATCAACGAAGAATAACGAAGATGATTTTGGCACGAAAATATATGCACCGTGAGGCACTGACAACTACCCATCGAAATGAATGGTACCATTCATTTAGAACTATGATTCCATGTCATAACTGGCTAGTACTGTAAAGTGTAAACATTGCTTCAAGATTGACCTAACTAACTCCTTTCAGTACCCAATGTTTTTACCCTACAGTACTTGTATCTATATTCACAATTCAATTCTTCACACAAAGGGGCCAAAGTTATTTATGAAAAATAATATTTTGATTTTAACAACCATTTATATAAATTTAATTTTCTCATAGATAAATATTTTAATATTGACTAAGCAATAATGTAAATTAAATTTCTAGTTTAGTTCCTATAATATATGAATATGTAATTTTAATTTTTACAAAAATTCAATTAAGCATTTTTTTTATTTTTTGACATTTTAAGAATTTTGTTATTGTTATTTTTAATTTATAACAGGGAGAAAATTATCAGTTATTTATTCATATAGAATATCAAGAATAATATTGAAGAATAAGTTTTGGTTTCCTTAGATCCAAAAACCGCTAAAAATGTTGTTATTAAATAAAATATTAATACAAGAATTGAAACAAATAAAATATAAATGTGCTATTAAATTGTATGTAAAGGAACAAAAGTACATTTAAAAATGTCTAAAATTTAGTAAAAGTTTACATAGTTTATTTTTTAATAAGATGATTTATGTGAAGTTTTATTAAAGATTATAATTTTAGCAAGATTTACTTTATCTCTCTGAAGTATCTTATTCTTAACTTGTCTTTTTTATTTATTTTCTGAAAGGTGGATATTCATGTCATGTACAAATTTATGCTGCAAGTGGTATGAATAAGTAAAATTAAAAGAATATTTGATATTGAGTTAAAGCAGAACCAATGATGTGATATTAATAAATTGGATAATTTATTTGATTTCATTAAAATTCTATAAGGATGTGGCCCCTAGCACTTGAGTACAAAATTCATTATTACTTGGTGGGTGACAAAGTTATCCACAACAGTGAGGTTTTGAATGTTTGACATTAGAGATAAAACTTATCTTGGCGGGACTTTAGGTTGATACCTAAACTCGTTTTTCCCGAGTACTTGGACGAAAAAGACTGATGGTTCCTTTAACCTTTTATTAGTTCCAGTCCCCATACAAAAGTGAAGAATGTCCTAAAGAATGTTTTCCTTCCTCTTCTTCTTCTTCTTTTCTACAGGGTCATTGTCTTCCTTATTAAAACAAATCTGAAACATCAATGGATTCCACTCACTGAGATGAGTAAAATGAAATATAAATACCAGATTTACACAGGAATAATAGAAATTTAATGCTTCTCATTCCTCAAACTCAACTATAGTTGTCGGTGCTAGACAGATTCTAAGTTTTTCAAATATACAATAATCAATTTATATGCTGTATTAAAGAAAGCCAGCATCAACCAAAAAAACAAAATACACAAGTTACAAAAGATGTGGTACTTATTATGTGGCAGAAATTGGACAAATCAATGAATTAAAACTGATCAAAATCCAAAGAAGGTACTTGCATCAAGGTTTTCTCACCTCCATGATCAACCTGCTGCTGCACACTGAAACTATCAGGCCCCACCTGCGAAGAAGACTCCGCTTGTGTTTGATCTGGTTGCACTTGTTCGGGATTCTCTGCTGGATTATTCAAGTGGCTTTCTGGCCTCTCAGATTGTAGAACAAGCTTTCCTTCATTGTAGAGACGGTTCAATTGATGAAAGTAGGGACAAGTCCTTGAGTCAAGGGACCTCTTCTTATTAACATCTTTGGTTTTTCTGAAGTACTTGTTTATGTTTTCCCACTTCTCTTTGCACCTCTTTGCGCTCCTCTTGTATCCTAACTCGGACATCCCTTGTGAGATTCTCTCCCACAGAGGCACCTTGTTCCCTTCCTTCTCCTCGTTGGTGGTGGTGTTGTTCACACTAGTGCACCTCAGGTTTATCAGTGCCAACACTTCGTCCTTTGGCCACCTTCTCCCAACATCGTCTCTCTCAACAACCGTTGGTGACGAAACTTTATTCAAAACCGAATTTCTCTTTACAGGATTCGTATTATTCTGGTTATTTAGAGAGCAAGAACAAGGGTTGGGTTGAGAAACTTGAGCTGAATTTGAAGAAGTAGAAGGATTGACAATCGCTTGTAATGTGTCTTGTCCAAGACTTGAGGTAGGGTTTTCTGTTGTGGGTAGAGCTGGAGTGTTTTGTGAAGGATTAGGGTTTTGTGTAGTGTGAGTTTTTAGGTTTGAACCATTAGTTATTACCTTGAGGCTCTTGTTTGCAGGGGAAGTGGCTGAGAATTTGTTCAGTATTTGAATGATGTTGGCTTGTCTATCACCCGCAATGGCTTGCTCACGTGCCATCATGTCAAGCTCCATGTTCATCTTCTCCATCTCTTGCTTCTTCCAAGCTTCCTCTCGAGTGAACTTCTCTTCATCTCTCTTCATCATGTCTTCGAGGAGCTTGTTGTGCATCTCTTCTTGCTGAGCCATCATCTTGTGCACAATGCTCTCACAAAAACCCTTGAACATTTCAAACCTACCTGGCCTTCTCCTCTTGCGCTCCTGAGTCTTTTCTACCACTGCCTCGTCGTTTTGTTTTGTCACCGATGCGTCAACATTTCTGAAATCCCCTTCTTCCAATGCATGGTGGTCCATCTTGTCTTGTTTCTGCAGTTGTCGAGTCTTTTCTTCGGTCCCAAGATGATGATCACCACCTCCTTGATGGTAAAGCTGTTCAAGCTCACTAAGAAACCGATAATTGTTATTATTATTCTTGCCGTAATTAATGTTGTTGTTAAAATATCTACTTTCTTCTTCAAACTTCTCCTTGCACTTCTCTGCACTCCTCTTATATCCAAGCTCTGCCAGCTTCCTGCGCCCACACCATAAATTATATAAATCCAAAAACCAACCATGGGATGAAGCATCTAACAGCATCTTTGTCTTCAACACGTATAATAATAGACAAATTTGCTTTCTTCCTTCAATTTTCGTCCCTTCCTTCCTCTTGGGTTGTGTGTGTATGTGTATCAAGGTGTCAGTGGGTGAGCTAAAGTGTAGGTGCACGTGTGCGTTTGTCTACCACATGAAGATTTTAGGTAGCATACGATGCAACCACACTGATCAAACACCAAGTGCAGCTCGTAATTATTTTTCTGTTAAAGAATTTATTGTATTGATTTTTTCTAGAGGATGGTTGATGAAAAAAAAAAGGGGGGGTTAGGGCCAGAAATAACAGTAAATAAAAAGGTATCGAATTGCAAGAATAGTATTAAGTTAACTAATTGGTACCTTGAGACATGTTCCCAGGTGAGTTCTGGGAACCAACTCTCCATGCTAGATCTGATCCTCAAGAGCGCGAGCACTTCGTCGTTAGTCCAGGGATCAATCAGGTGGGGTAGTTGTTGCCTTTGATCTCTTTGGATTTCGAAGTTCATTGGGACAGTGGTGTTTTCTTGCTTGTCTTCATCTTTGTGGGTAGAGGGTTGGTGGTGTAACGGGTGCAAGAGATTGTTAGGTTGGAGTGGCAATTGATGGGAAGCGTTGTAGGGATCAAAATTGGAAGGAAAGGTGGTATTGGGGGTTCCAGAAGCATGGAGAGGGAAAGGTAAGTGAAGAGGTAGTGAGGTCCTTGGAGTTATGAATTGGTGGAACTGGTCTGGTACTCCATCGAACATGTTTGTGTCTGTGTTTTGTGTTAACACTTTTCTCTTCTTTACCTCTTCTTTCTGTGCTCACCGTAAATTAAAATGAGCAAAATGCTACTAGCAACTTACAAACCACGCACCAACCCCTTTCTCTCTTTCTCTCTCTGTTTCTGTCTCTCTCTCTCTCTCTCTCTCAGACACACATTTATCAAAGAATTTGTCCTTGCATGGAAGGGAAAAGATAGCCCACCACCACACCCTTTTATAAAAAGTGAACTCACACCCCTAGCTAGCAGACAAATATTCTATATAACAATAAAAAGAGGTGTTAGCAGAAAAATTATTAGACACTCATCTTGGATTTTCAAGTGATAAATTATGATATCAATCAATGTGTTAATCTAAAAAGAAAGAAATAGAGTTAACTACGTGTTTCATGGAGATTAATTGTAACACAATATATGCAATAAAGTATTAGTAAAAATTCATTAAAGAATAATATAACAGAAGTGTGTAACTTAAAAAAGATTATATACAGTTTTGAATAATAGAGTGCGCGATGAAAAGGGAGAACGAGTAAGATTGATGAAATGAAAATGTGGGTTGCTTGAAGTAGTGAATCAAAGCACGTTGGAAATAAAAAGGCATATTGAATGCTTTTTAGCCTTTTTCCTAAATGAAAATAAAATCCAAAGTGATCTTTATCATGAATCGCAATTCCTTGTAGTGAGAAAGGTTTAGACAGGGAGAAGGATAGGAGTGTGAGGGTGAGAAATGAGATGCGCTTTAAGGGAGAATAATTGGCGCCAGTAATAGATGACAAGCGGATAAGTGAATAAAAAAGGAAAGAGGTCGAAGAAAAAGAAGAAGCAGAAGAAGAGGAAGAGGAGGTGGTGGAGGAGGAGATGATGTATTATGATGATGGAATGAATGATTGGAGAGTGAGGAGGACGCGCAGGGGGAGTGGGGTGGCAAAAAAGAGAAAATAGTTTTGGTTTGGTTGTCACTGGGGCATTCGAATCCTATGCAGTAGCTGATGCTGATGATGGTGTAATTAACGGCATCGAGATGGCAGGACACGTGAAAACATGCAGAGGATGGGACCAATTATTTAAGGATGGGAATCTTCACATGGTACAGAGGATACAGTGGTGTAGTACAGCTTCACCCCTTCCTCTCTGCCTTTCTCCTTCACACTCTCTCGTCAACACTCCAAAACATTTCAATTTATTGCTCCATTTGTTGGGCCTACTATTACATCTATAGTTTGGATCTAAGAACACCAACAATAAGAATATTTCCCCCACCTTCAACCATTTACTTTCCCCTTTCTCCCCACTCTGCATTTTAAGCCTCTCTTCCTATCTAACATCAACAATGTATTCAACTAATTTTCATCTTTGCACAATGTTGAGCCTGTGCGTGTTCAAATTAAGGTTCGCAAAAAAGAAACTTTCGGAATTGAGAAGAAGGAGGTGGGCGAAATAAGAAAGGGGGTGTGGTGTGGGGTAAGTGGTTAACCAGCTCGGAATGAGTTGTGGAAAGAGATATGTCATAACTAGCAATTTCTTCTCTTCATATTAGATTGGTTAAATCTCCACCCTTCGTACCTTTTCCCCCTACTTTTTCAGCTTTGACCTATTTCACTCAAAATGGCCTCAAGTTGTACCAACGACGGAGGGGGGGCTGCTGCATTTATTTTCATTTTTTTTCTCATCTTTTCTCACTCCTTGCATCATGCACCTACTCTTACTCTAGTCTTGGGTTGGAATAGAGTTTTGGTTCCATGTGAGTGTGCCTTTGTCTTCTCTTTCAAACTTTCGATTTTATCTCAATTATTAAACCAACTTACCTCAACATACCCAAAACTAAAATCAATGGGTCGAGTTTGTGGGCTTCTTTTATTTTTGCAAGTACTAGTGCATAAAAAGGTTAGTAGGACGACGAGTACACTGTTGGGCCTAGGCCGTAAATTACATCTTTACCTTGCTAACATTAACAATTATTTGTGGACTTCTTTTTCTTACACTAATTTTCTACAACAGTTTTGGAACCATGTGTTTCTATTCAACCAGTTCTCTTCTTTCCTGAATCACAATTTTTATTTTAAATTCTTCATATTATTCGAATTAACATTTTTTAGAATATATGGCTATGTCCTCAGACTAACATAGATTAAAAAAGAAGAAGTCTTACCAGGGTTTATTAATGAAAGATGCAACCAAATTGCTGATAGCTCCTTTCAATAGAGGTTTTTTTTTTTTTTTTAAGTTGACTTTCAAGCAACAACCATAGGGAGATTATACCCTTTTTATTTCATTCATCTCTCCTTATTTTTATTTAGTTCAATCTCGCACAAAAAACTAGTCCTTTTGAAATAACCATATCTTTTTAACAACGTAAAAGCGTAAAAGACGATGACATATTTGTTTTACAAAATAGAACCGTCATGCAATGAATAATAATAATAATAATAATAATAATAATAATAATAATAATAATAATAATAATAATAAATTCCAGCACAATATATTAGCAAAATCATTCCATAACATAACACGCATCATACTCTTTAAGAAAACATTACATGTACAACAGTTATTCCACAATATTATTTTATGTCTTAATATCAGAAAAAAATATATATAGAAATTATTGTACATGTATCAAATAATCTAATCTTTATCCTCTTCCATGCCATGGTACAATTAACATATTTAAAAAACACAAAATTTTTATAAATAATTTAGGATTTAGGGTTTAAAGAAACAGAAAAAGAAAATAGATTTCCAACCCCAAATATGTATCACGTTAATCTGTCTCATGTCATATCCCCTATGTGTTCTATTAAAAACAAATAAATAATTTAATTTTTAGATTAATAGATATTTTCTTGCATTCTTCCCAGTCGTTCATTTATGCAATAATCTTACGTTAAGTAAGATTAATTTAACTTTATAAGATATTATATGTTATATATTCTTAGTTTGCTACAAAAGAAAATATTCCTAGTTTGGTGATGCTTTCGAAAAAGAATAGTAGTGAGGTTTTCTGACAATATTATATTGAATAAATGTTGTCTTAAAAAAAAAAAAAAAGTCATATTTACAAAACCCTTGATCTTCCTTAAACCCTACGCACACATTTTCTTTCAGTCAGAGACGGCGATGGCGGATTCTCCAAGCAACTCAAAGGAGAAGAGCACGCGCGTTTACCATCCCTATCAGGACCTCAACGTTCCAATCCAAAAGCTCTACAACCTCCCCACCGCGCCGGAGCATCTCTTTCCGGAAGAAGCCGCCAGGACCCACCGCTCCTGGGGCGACAACCTCCAGTACTACACCGGCACCGGCTACCTCTCCGGCGCAATCATCGGCGCCGCCAGAGGCACTGTCCAGGGCCTCCGCGAGGCCGAGTCCGGCGACTCCCTCAAAATCCGACTCAACCGGGTCCTCAACTCGGGCGGCCACGCGGGTCGCAAACTCGGCAACTCGCTCGGCGTCTTGGGCCTCATCTTCGCCGGGCTCGAGAGTGGGATGATCCACGCCAGGGGCACCGACGATTTCCTCAACAGCGCCGTCGCCGGACTCGGCACCGGAGCGCTCTACAGGGCCGCCGCCGGACCCCGATCCGCCGCTATTGCAGGCGCCATCGGAGGAATCGCCGCGGCGGCGGCGGTTGGCGGGAAGCAGGCTTTGAAGAGATACGTACCGATCTAGTGAAGGATTAGGTTAAGAGAGTAGAACGGGGATGGTAATACAAATGATATTATTATTACTTTCAAGAATTGATTGTCGGTTTAGTACATTATAGTGTTTGTTGCCATTAATTTCATACTGCGTTTTCCAATTTGTAAACTCTCCCCATAAATTGGTGTATTTAGTTAGAGCACAGAAGTACGAGAAATTGAATTATTCAGTAGTGTGACTAAGCCTCTTTTAATCAATCATTATGATGCAAATTACTTCTACTTGCATGACTCACTATATTAATTAGTATCCACATTATTCATCTTAAAACATATAGTACAAAATATATTTTAATTATTTTATGTCAATATTCATAATATTATTACTATCAATATATTATATTTACAAATTGAATTTTAAGCTTGGATCTGATTGAATTTAAATTTAAACAAGTGATTCTATTATAAAATCAAACATGTTTCAGCTCCGATAACACTCATTTTATTTCTGCATGACTTACAAATTCTCTCTATACTAAAATTGGTTTATATATAATATATAATTTAATGAGTAAAACTTATTTTTCTTAAATCTTGTTTTAATTTTTGCATAAATCAGTTTTAGTTTTAGTTTTCTTTATTTCTCCGAAAAGTTTTAGTTTTCATGGGCTGATGGATGACTAGGGTATGCGTTCCAAACCAAACTCTGTCCGCTGTTTACTTTTCTTTGGTCCAAATTTCCAAAACTTACTTCACCTTAAATTTGCGAGTTCATGATTAACTAAAAACGTTAAAAGCAAAATTACGAGTCCGTAAGCTGCAATGGGAAAGAATGATAAACACTATTAACCAAGACAAAGAAAAGGACAAAGTTAATGCATATATATTCACTTCAAAAAATCAATATTAGTAACAACAAGCAGACCTTATTGCTTGAGGTTGGTATAAACCTGAAAAAGCAGTAAGGTGAGACATCTATCTCAAAACAACAACATTGGTAAAAAAGAATAGTCCTATTGTAAACCCTAAATAAATGAAGATAAAGATACCTCCCACTTTTTTACATTTGTAGGAAAAACAGCAATTTTGCAAACAAATCATCATTAGTCCTCCAACATAATCAAAGAATATCCTACACTAGCCATATATTATATTATATTATGTGCAATGATTTAGCTCATTCCACTGCAATATTGGGGTTTGTCAACCTTTTGTGCCTGAACAAAGTTAGATTTCAACATCAACCCGGGTTCTGATGGGCTTGAGCTTAATTCCTAAACTCTCTGGGGAGAGGAGTTCTGGTGCTATGCATGAATGACTAGAGGGGCTTGCAGGATTTGATCCATTGCTTGACGAGGAAGCGACGTGTATATGTCTGTGGTAGCCAAACCCCATTAAGAAACACTCCAGTGGTGTTATCATGGAATTTGGGTGCTCTTCTGTTACCAATGAGCCACAAGCCTGAACCTGAGCAAGAATTTTAAGTTTATCATGTTATTTCTGTTTGTCTTTCTCGACTAGATTATATGTTGACTTGTATAATGAATGGACCACCTACCTCAACAAGCGCGCAGTTTCTGTTGTCCATTTTTGTGCTCATGTACACAGATTCAGCATGGAATGGACTACTCTCTCCTGCAAATATAAGCGTCTTACATTGCAGGTCCTTCAGACCCTCAGTGAGGTCATGCCTTCTGCAAGCAGTTAAGCATGGTAAAAAATCACGGAAACAGTAATTCTGCCATTTTTTTTTTAAATTTACTCACTTTATTGAAAATTAATCTGCGTAGCAGATGATGTCATTAGGACAAGATACTTTATAAGAAATGACATTCTTTTGTCATCTTTTCCATTTACATGCTATGTAAATCCAAAAATTCAGTAGCCAAGAATTAGAATTTGATTCTCCCGTAGAATAAACAGTATGTAATAATATGCCGATTCAAATTCTAGTTGTAGAAAATAATTTTATAAACCTACCACCAAAATATAGTCTTAAATCATCTGAAGAATGTTCAAAAGCAATCATCCTTATAATGCTAATCGGCAGTTGCACAGTTGTACAATACAATGGATCACATGATTACAGGAGTAGCAAGAAAGAAAAAGAAAGCAATCATGTTTATAAAAAAACAATATAACTTACGCATTAATTGCTTGGAGAAATCGCATAACATTCAAACTTTGTCTTTCATCTAGAAGCTGTAGTATAGGTCACAAAAGACGATCACCGTGTAAGAGTTCTACACATGCAAAATATGCATGTATTTAAAGAAAAATGTATGTACTAGTTGTTACTAAAAATTGTTATGTTCATACCCTTCGGCAAGTTAGTATAATGTCCGATTCTGCTCCCTGAACACTGGCCCTAAGTTCCTATAACAAATGCAGAGAAGTAATGTCACATACAGCAATGATTCCACCTTCACAAATGAGGGGTGAAGGGGAAGAATGGAAAAATACCTTACTGAAGTAACGCTGCAGAAGACATTCCTTCAGTAAACCGCACATGCCATAAAAGTATAACAAATTCAGCAGCACCTGCATGAATGGATATAAAAAATCTTAGGAAGACCTTATATTTACAAGGGTAATGAACCCCTTTTATTGCTTTACACTTCTAAGCTTCTAAGGAATTGAGATATGATAAACGATTATTCTGACATGGACTTATTGCTATGTCAGACACACACAGTTTTCTTTAAGTTTTGCTGTGTACAAGGTACGCATCTTGTGAGTCAATGGTTTACACTAAATGCCTTAATCTAGATACAGACACTTCAGTAGTAGATAGCATATTATAGAAGCCAAAGCTAACAGAGATATTAAACCTTGTTGTATAGCCATTCAGTCCATGAAGGAGCTTTACAAACAGGTGAAACAAGAATCAATCCAAGCACTCGTTCTTTGTATTTCATCTGCCAAATTAGAAAAAAACACCATGGTTTACTACACTAGATTGTCAAGGTAGATGAAGATATATTCACAAATGCCAACTTACAGCAAACAGAGTGAGAACGTAAGCACCAGCTGTTACACCCAAGCACAGAACCTCCCTTAGCCTGATTTAAGATGGTTTTGGACAAGGGTTAAAATCCTAAACCAAGTAAGAATATCAAAGAGGCTGGTTTCAGTAATCTAAAAATATATTCAATGACAAATACTCAAGTTCCTTTATCCCTACTACATATGTACTCACTTCCCTTAGTCCAAATTATCCATCAATGCACAAACAATCTCACATTTTTCCTATTAAAACAATAGCAGATATTTTGAATAACTGATGTTCAACATACCCAAAGAAATCTAGCACTTCTGCAATCTGGTCAGCAAGGTCATCCACGCAAAGCAATGGTTCATCAGAAGAAATGATATCAGCTCCCAACTGCAATAACTCTTAAACAAATGAGACAAAAGTCAAATTACACATTAGGAGAGGAGACCTTAGAACTTCTATGTCCAAGAACAAGAATTTTAGCCCAGGAATTTCACTACTTTTATATTTGTTACTCAGTAGTTATGAAAATTTTTATCCTAAAAACCTAGATTTCCACAAAATTCAATGGTGTCCAAAATCTTCAAAACATAAAGGAAAAGGGACAGACAAAAGAAAAACCTATGTGCATACACAACTTAGAACTTGGAAGGAAAGGAGAGAATGCTAATACCGACCTCATGCCCGGGAGCGTCAATGTGATAAATACAGAAGTTATGAAGCAACAAAGATGCTGCATCTGGGCAGAACAACAGACCCTGGAAACAAGACACATCTGCAAAAAAGCCAAAATCAAGTTGTGGTAATCATCCACTAGTCCAAAATAACACAATAAAAAAGCCTTATACGTCTCCACAACCACATAGACAAATGTGAGGAACATTTTATAGGAAAATTAGTTCATGTTCATATAGTATAAAAAACATAGAAATATAAATATAAACAAGAGGTTACAATTGAGGGCGACATCCGGATAGGTTATTAGAGCGGGTTTTTCTTGATCTCCACAAACAAGCACAGACACAGAACCTTTACTTGTTTTCACTGTGCATTCCTGCAAAAGGTATAATCTATGTTAAACACACTGTTATTACACAAATTCCACCACACTATCAGCAAAACACAAGCTAAACTTGGAGAAGAGTTATAAGTTTCACATGTTAAAGTGACATTACCTTTCCTCCTAAAGGTATCAAATCAATGTCAATGGACACAGAGTCGCTTGACTCACCCATGACTCCACTCTATACATGAAATGCTCCCACGCCTTAATAACACTGGTACTTCTTCTTTCTTCCCTTCTCTTCCTATTCGTGGGTGTCAAATTACTGCTGAAACCTCCTTATTTGAAGGGAACCACACAAGTGACCTTAGTAAACAGCGACAACTTATCAGGGTACGAGAATTTACGGTCTCTGTACTGTGTCGTGAATCACTGGGTCAGTGACCGTTGGAGTGGGTTAAAAGACAATTATTCATTTGTATTTATTTATTATTTTTATTACCTATAAATTGCATTTCTGAAATTAGTTGAGGTACCTGTAATTTGGGTGAAGTCAATTTATAGCTGAAGAAGAAAATCGTTTGGGTGCCAGAGATTCATTGATTGGAACTTTTTTTAACTCCATATTTTATGTAAATTCTTTGTCACGTGTATTACCTCAAATAATGTCTTACTTCTATAAATAATAATTTTCAAAATAAATATACAAATATTGTTCTACAGAAATTGTGTGTAGTTTGGTGCTGAGCTGGCATTGGCATGGGTATGAAAGAGAGTGATAACATAAGCGGCACACATGTGAAGGTAAGTTATAGACCTAAATAAATAAAGAAATGTATAAAATGAAAAATGGTGGGGTGTTTGGTAATTTGGCAGGGGCATCATGACACAGCTGTAGGCCACCTGGAATTTTGTTCTGAGAGAAAGCTCTCCACTCACATATCATCAGGGCCAGCTCATTTATGTTTTTCGTAAATCTAATAATTAACACTGTCCTAAGATTTAATACCAAATATGCTGAATTTAATTTACTCCACTTTTTATTTATTTATTGTTGTTTACAGTAATATATACATATGGAGAAAATAATTAATTTATTATTTAAATCAATTTATTTAATTAAAATACCTCTTGAAGATGTTATAGAAAATATTAATTAATATTTTTTATATTCTGAAGTGAAATAACTTGAAACAAAAATATTCTGAAAACAACATGGAATAAGTTATCTTCGTTAGTTTAATGTCTAAGAATGACGTTGGTAGTTTGGAATATAAAATATTCTATTTTTTTTTTATTACGAAAGAGTAAATTGTGCACTTGTGTTCCAACAATCACTCCTGGTTGGAAGGATTTATATAAGAAAGTAATTAATTTAATAATAACATGGAATGGGTTTACCCTCTCAATCTCATAAAATTCATTGGAAAATTGAAGAAACTGGTGGTGAGGGACATGCATGGTGATTGATTGGTCTGTCAAATTCAAAAGAACTGAACGCGGCTTCTCTTTATGCCGGTGATCACGGCCTCGTGACTAACAACTTCCATAAACATTGAAGCAATGGAGAATGGAACCAAAAAACTCAAATACCCACACTTTTCTAAGATGCTGTTCGTACTGGGTGCACAACATGGCCTTCTTTTTTTCACCTAAAAATGTCATTCCATAATTTTTTTTTTACTAATAATAATAAATCATATGTAACTATTTTCTAACTCCCAAATACTTATAGTTTGTCTCATCATCATATTTAGTCATTTCCTTAATTTTAATTTTTAAGTCAAGTCTCTATATTTTTTGTTTGAAGATATTTAAGTTTTATTGAAAATTTCGATGTAAAAGGAACATCCATTAGTACTCTCTACGCTTTTAGTTAGGTGAAAAAAAAATCATCTTATTATTTGTGGATTAAAAAATAATTAGTCTTTATTTGTCTGTTTTTCTTTTCAGTATGTTAAAGGAAAATGAATAAATTCTAACTTCAAAAAATTGTGTATAATCAAATAACAATTATAATTAATGAAAAAAAAATACATGAAAAGAAATCATTGTTTTTAAAAAGCATGAAATGTGTAAATTGTAAGAAAGTGGGATATGCTTACCTTCCTTTTAATCAATTTTTTATTGATAAACATAATAAATTATGTTTTTTTCACATTATATTACATAATAAATTGTAACTATTGAATATCATCATATTATAATTTTTTATTAGTATTAAAATAGTAAAAAAACTTATTTTAATTTTTATTTATTTTTTACTATATTAAAATTATTTTATTTTATTTTTTATTTAATTATTTTTTCTACTCTCTATTTTGTTTCATATGCTTCAAACAAATCAGAATGAAGTATAAAAAAAAACGTTTATTTTAATAGGAAAAAGTAGTGAAAAATCTACATAAAGTTTAATTGTGAAAGTTGAGAATAATGTATAAAAATTAAAATGGGGTAGAAGTTTTTAACAACCAAATGGAATGTCAAATTTTCACAAACCATTATATGGAACAAAATTAGTAGATTCAAAGTACATTTTTAATTAACTTTGCTTTTTAAAATCTTGATCTAACTTGTGGGTCTGGTCACAAGACAAACCTCCTACCAGTTACTTGAGTAGGTCATGTTTTAATTTATATGACTGTACTGTACCACAAATTAAATTTGTTAAATTTATATGTAAGTTTCTTTTTTTTCTGCAAGAAGAAACCTCATGAAAATCTCAAAATGAAGGATTCTTCTTCTCAATTATGTTGAAAAAGACTTGGCGAGTGTCATCTCCATTTGCATTTTTCCATTGTTTACATTTTATGTCTTTTAAAAGTGCTCATTCAAACTGAAAAAATTAATTGAATATTTTTCTGTAAAAATCTCAAGTGATATAAGATGAGAGAAACAACATTAAGCATAATCTTCCTCTAATGTCCATCAGTGACATCTCTATGTGAAAACCTTGATCAAGGAAGGGAGAAAGCAAATATTTTTCATGAAAACAATAATACAGTTCTTCATCCAAAAATTCTAAGATTTTCCTCTCACAAGAATCTTGAACAGTTTAAAATGGTGTTTCTTTTTTCATTAGACACTCCATTGCAGATTTATCTATGTTGACTCAAATTTGCTGAAATACATTACAAAGCTACATGAATTTGGTTTGGTTTGGTCCCCTCTTATATATATATATATATATATATATACCTATTGTTAATTGAAAAAAAATGCAAAAAGGTCCATAAACACAAATTAATCCTTAATTCTTAGCTTTGGGATACTAAATAAATGCTTTCATAACACTAATATATAGTGACACAATACTGGTATTAGTCATATTTAGAGAATCAACAATCACTACCATACAGAATAAACATACATCACTCAAGGACTTCTTTTTGTAAAATAACTTGACTAATTGACCGTACTGAATCATTGCGAATTTTATACTAAATAAAATCCTTTTGCTCATAAAATACTAGATACGTACACTTGCTCAAGGTATATATGGTATAAAATACTAGGTACCAAAACTATTTCAGATTTCAGAACATACGTGACAAATTTCCTTAGGCAGTATTATATCAGAGTCACCAATTTTTTCCTCAGACTAATGAAAGGTAGACTTTGCCATGTGCTCTATCTTTATTACCTTCACAGCTAAGATAAGTGTTAGTACACGAAGAACATTAAATACATCAAAAGTAAACTCCAAAATTGGTAATGACACAATATACCGTACAGTGATAAATATCGAACAAAAAAATTACTAGTTAGAAGCATGAGTGCATGTGTATGAGTTCATTTAAGAGGTATCATGATCAAGGCAGTCACAAGGGTATGCATAAAAGATTAACAGAGTAGGTGTACTCGATGCACTACTGCAAAGCACAAACAATACAGAAATAAGCAGAGTTTGCCTAGGTGTTAACTCAGGGCCGTATCCCAGTAAAAATACTGAGGTTCATCAAATATCTGCTACTTATTCATTGGCAACACTAAATACAATCTCCAAAGTGACAACACCATTATCTATCAACTCAATGAGGCTTCTCTTACACATCTTCTATGCATATATTTCTTTCTTACCTTTACACAAGAAAGAAAAGTCCAACCAAACGTTCATAAAAAATGTTCGTACCATATCAGCAGCTACCGTCATGTTGGAAGATTAATATTGCTGAAATGTTATTCGATAGAATATAGAGGAAAATATATGAGCTGTCTGTAAAACAAAAATTATAGGTATAAATAAACGAGAATAGTGTAGTTTTCTATTCTGTTTGGATCGTGGAATATTCTTACATGAGATTGACATTTGAAATAGCAGCCATGTGTCTTACAAGAAATTATAACTGTTTATTAAACTTATTCATGTTACACAATTTGTATGACCGAATCATTCACCAGACAGCCTGCAGGATGAAAAAGACAAATTCCTGGATTTAGCTGTGAAAGAGAATAAGAGGTATGCAGGTAAACACAGAACATCAGAGCTTAATAAAGGGGAGTCCTGAATCAGAGGTTAACATGTCCTCGGGTTAATTAACATATAGTTTGAGTTAAGACATCAGTCACATGCCATGATTCATCTTCATATGATCAATAAAAAGATACCTGTTCTCTCAGCCGGAAGTGAATAATAAATAAATCAATATGTACAAAGATAACTAGCCAGAATCTCATACCCAGTTTACTAATTATCAGACATCAGAGTAGGATATTTCACCAAGAGAAGGATTAATTCCATAGCCCGACAATAGTCAGACTATCTTAGTTTCCTGAAATATAGTAAAAGCTCTGTGGATTACAATACAAGAAGAAAAGTAAATCATCATTCATTATAAGTCATCGATCTCTTTTTCTCACACATGCTACCTTCCTCTTCAGCCTCAACTAACCCTGGATATCACACTTTTGGCTAAGAATTGTTGTTACTGTATCTTCTTAGCAAATAATGAGCATTAATAGTTTGCAGGTATAGAACTGATACAAGAAATTAAGAGAATATGTACCTGAATAACACAGAAAGAACTATGGACAAAGTTTTTTGTAATATAGATATCATAAAATTAACACTTGAAGATAAATATACAGCCAATTGGAGAAAAAAATGTCCATGATCTGTTCAAATGCACAGATATGTTGGGGTATGAATTTAAGGGTAGAAACGATACAACAAAAGTACTAATCTTTAATCAAGTGTAAACGCTCACATCCTTGATAACTCACAACTCGCTAAAGTTCTGTTAGTATGGTGGATTTCTACAAACCTAGTCGTTCTTCCACGCGTATAAAATATGTGAGAAGCCAAGACCTTGTGACTTGGTCTCAGAAAACCTCTGAGAGAACGACCACTGCACCACATTTGCATCAGAAAGGGATTGACCGGCCCGCAATTTTTCCTCGGAGATGCATGTTCTGAACATAAAGACAGCATTTCCAAGAGATGTGCCAAAGAGCCAATTATGAACATCCCAGAAAACTTCAACTGCAAGGCCATCCACTAAGATGGTATGGTTTCCCCTAAACTTCCACTTGAGCCTCTTCACCTGCATCACCGTTTTGCTATCTATGCGAATGATAAGGCACGGATCAGACACCCCTGAAGTGTCACATTCTATGACAAGATCATGAATCTGACCATTGTCACAAAACACTGCCTTGTTACCAAACATCTTCTTGCCAAAAACATGTTCTTTTTTGGCAACAAACACTGCATTAGAGGGTAATGGGATGGCACTGGACTTCTTGAAAGCCTCTTTCCTCAAATCTCCGAGAAGCAGAACCATTTGCCGATCTACAACTACTCCTACATAAAATCCCTCCAAGGGTTCGGGACCAACACCAAATCTAGCAGAAGAAAGGTCCCAATACACATCAATCTTACAAGAATAAGCCTCTAAGCTCTTACTACCCCTCCTCTTGGAAAATACCCAGGGTTTGATATCCACCTTACACAGACACTGATTTGAAGAATCATCGATCCCAACGCTAAGCCCTTGCCCCATCAAGCTCTTACTCCACGTGATGGTTATCAAGCAGCACTTACCTCTTATCCGGCATTGGTAAACGCAGATAACCAGATTCTGTGCAGTTTTGCTAGCGTTTGAAGATGAAGAATCTGCAACCTGAACTGCATTTTCACCAAAGCATGAAGGGAAGTCCTTCATTTTTTTCTTTTCTCAAACAGCAACCAACCACAACTGAATTCAATTTCGAACCTTTTTGGCAAACAGAACAAAAGTGGACAACAAATGTTCTCTCTCTCACACAAACACACAAACACACTCTCTCTGTATATATCTGAGGATAAGGCAGAAGGTGCAGAGAGTTAAGAGAGAGTGTTACCTTGACGGATCAGAGATGCAGTACAAGGCATATCAGAGAGTGTTGAAGAGATGGGGTCTTAGATTTGAACCCATGACTCTATCTATCTGTTGTTGAGAGAAGAAGAGCGGAAGAGGCGCGTGCAAGTAGAAGACAAATTTGGAGGAATGTAGAGAGTGAAAGGGGGTCACAGAGAAGAAGACAAAAAGCAGACTTGTTTCACTGTCAATGCCACAAATCAAAATCTCCTACAACTTCAATTTTTTTCAAAAACAAAAACACTAAAAACAGTAAAGCGTCCATGACTCTATTCTATGTCTACTATTACGGTTTAAGAATTAGTATAGAGAAGAAAAAATAAAATTAAGAGATGGTGACAAGCCAAAGAAAAGAAGGAGACAATGTGGGAGAAAATGGTAACTGGGTTCAACTTGGAAGGCTGATTTGTGAGAGTCACTCTACACTGATTAAAGTTAAGAAGGGAAAAGAAAGGTTCTTTTTTTTTTTTTTTTCTCCTATGGTGTGTAGTTGCTTTTACCTGACAAGCACACATGAACGAACGAGAGATTTCTCAATCCGAATAACAAGAATGAAAGACTATTATCATGCTAAAATTAAATAGTCAATGAATGTAAATTCTCCTTATTTGGCATCTACGTATTCAAAGGGAAGGAGTGAGTTCCTGGGAAGTGGACCCCATAGTCTCCTGTAAAACTGCAACCACGTTCTCTTCTCACAGACATCAACTATGATGCTTCCATGCCTTGCATTGCATGCCTCACAATAATCAAACGACAACCTGTATTCTTCGTTTTTATTATTTACTATCGTATTTCAAAATTTAATTTTTATTCTGCCTTGTCTAACCGGGATAGTTTGAGAATTTTTATTCCCAAAGTTTTTATCTTGTGTTAGAGTTATAAGTTATGAGTTTCCTTTGATGATTTAAATCTTAATTCTTTCATTAGATAAGATTTTGTTTGAATGTGCTTTTCTTCTTTGTAATAATATATTAATAATATTATTAGCAATAATATGTTTTTTATTTAATAATAATAAAAACATGATTAATCTTTACTTTATTAAATACATTCTTTATATGATATTGTCCATATTGCACTATCAAGGTCCTAAGCACATACAAGTGGATATTTTTCCTACTATAATTTATATTTTTCTTAATGGTTTAGTTGGTCAAGGACACCAATTATATATTATTATTATTATTATTATTATTATTATTATTATTATTATTATTATTATTATAATATAAATAAGACTCACTATTCTTTTGTCCAAATGACTCATTATTTTTCTATTAGGTGTTATTATTGTTAGAAATTAGAATTAATGGTGCCAAATCAAATTTTACTTATAATATCTATACAATAAGATTTTTTTTCGTTGTTTACAAAATAATATTATATTTTACCAAATAAAATATAATTACTTTTATTATATTATTAATGAAGAGAAAATAAATAATATAATAAAAACCGTTATTATGATATATATCTAAAAAATAAAGAGAAAAAAGATATAATACACACCAAAAAAGAAAACATAAAAAGTCACACTTTAAAAATATATGTTTTCACTAACTTTAATATGATACATTTTTTTTTTCATTTCGTATTATGATTTACGTCATTTACGCGTCAAATATATTAAGTAATTGTAATATGTAATGAATAACATGTAATTATGATTACTTAAAAATATATCGCTAAATAAATAAAAATATATACTTTATACAATGATTAATGTGATATGATTTAATATGAAGATTTTTACCATAATTTACTTTAAGTTATACATCAACATAATTTTTTTTATTGATCGATGATATAAAGATTTTTACACCAACATTGCATATTTTTAATTTCTTAAATATATATATATATATAATATTCCACAAACTTTTTTAGTGTATATTTAGATAATTATTTTGTATTGTCCTTATTTAAAGCTATGTTTAACCGTTTTGTAAAAAAAATAATTACCCAATCATTTGATTATTTTACTTAACTTTTGTTCATACATAAAGATTGAAATAATAATAATAATAATAAAAAAAAGGTCAATTAGAACATTTTTAACATCGAAAGAAGTTTAAGTCTAGATTCACCAAATGAATGACTAAATTTGAAAGACAAGTCTTTTAAAAAAAATTTAAGTGAAAGACGAGTGCTTATGAATGTAATAACTTTAAGTTAATTGAAAAGTTGCTAAATTTTATTTTATTAAATTAGCCCTATTTTATATATAACTTTATTCTAGTAGTTTACACTCCCCAAAACAACTAAAATTGTAGTTATTTTAGTTTTCTTTTTCTTTTTAATTATATTTTATATTTGTAATACGTAATTTGCAAAAGAAAACAAAATAATTAAATTATTTCCTTACACATAACTGAGCAATTAAAACTAATTTTAGTGGAGCATAAATATTTTCATTTTTGTAAATTACTTATTGTAAAACGTCAATCCAGTGATTATTTTAAAAGTAGAGCATAAATAAAGTAGTTAAAAGTCATACAGAAAAAAAAATTAAAGCAACAAAAACGGGTAATGTATATAATTAGTAATTCTCAATTTTGTTGTGTGTAAAATCATACAAATTTAAAGTTAATTTTGTTTCCAATTTTTTTTAATAAATTTGTATAATATAGAAAGTATATACGAATTTCCTTTTTCTATGAATTATCCTAGGTATAAAATTTTGAAATATGCTAACATTTTAATGATTTTTTTAAGTTATTTTGTCTCAATATTATTTTTTATGTTAAGCTTATAATATGTCCATGAATAGTTCATTAAAAAGTGTAAAAAATGTTATCGTCATTATATAATGTTATCAATTGTACAGTAAACTTCTACATTTGTAAAATAAATAAAAATAAAATATTTTTATAAAAAAAGTATACCAAAAAGATAATATCATAGGTAAAAGTAATGTGAACTATACTTATTCTTACAACATTGGATAATATTTTATTGATAATGTTATTAAAAACCACTATTAATTAAAATTAATTTTTGATCATATACATTATATATAGAAAAAAGAGAATGAATTTATAATCATTTACATAAATTAAAATGAATATAATATAAAGTTACTCGGATTGACCTGAGGAATTTAAGTAACAAAAATATTCTCCAACATCACAAGTAGATGTCCGAATTTAGATATATTAAAAAGGATTATCCAAGGAAATCATTGTTTGCAAAAGAGTGTTGAAAAGTTAAATCCAATTTAAAACCAATTATGCAATTGTGAGGGTGTAAAGTATACATCCAAAATGCGTTACGTGTAAGTGACTCTTTGTTGTGGGCATCACTTATTATTATTATAATAATAATAATAATTACATTCACTTACTTTCAAACATCACTTTCTATACTTTCTGTTATCTAATTATATTCTTTTTCTCTTCAAATTTTTACATAAACTCCCACATCGGTTTTTTCTGTCCTTCACTATCCTTATCCTACAATTCTCACACAAAAACTCTGTTAACTTCACTCTTCACCAAAAACTAGAAAAAAAATATAAAAAAAATGTTTTTAATTTTTTCACTTGGTCTAAATTTTTGTCAAGGTTAGAGTTGTGTACCGTGTCTTTCCTTTTATGATGGGATGGCATGGCCACAAAAGTTGCGATCACATAAACTTATCTGCATAGCCTGTGATAGGTAGCTCAGTGAGAAAGGAAAATAAAGTCAAAAAGGAGAATAAATTAGTACGTGACAACTGGATTTGTCCCCATACGAATTCATTTGTATGTTGTTGATAACGAAGGCACATTCATTAGTTCCATAATCTACAACTTCAACCATCCACTTTCTTCTTTTTCCATTCTCACTTCCTTCTTTCACTCAAGGGACAACTTCCTCTTACGCCATTGCTAAAATAAGATACCTTTCATCATAACATAATCAACATTCACTTAGGTAAATGCTACACGTTATGTCCATTTAAGCCTTTTACCATTTTGTTTCTCTTTTTATCCACTTCACAGTGAAAGACAATAACTTTCTTTTTCATTTTACTCTATTTTTTAGTGCAAGTTTCCTCTTCACAGTGTAAACAAAATGGTGTTGACTTACGATGTAATAAGAAAAAATAAATTGTTAAAAATAATAAATGTTAATGAAATATTAGTAATGGAAGAATGTTTATATATTATTTACAGGTTAGCAAAATGTGTAGAAATTGAATAAGAAAGAGACGAAAACCCAATTAGTTGGGCCCAGAATTATCTTCCATCTTATAGGAACAGCGGTGATCCAGATTTGGCCCAAAGCTGCACTTATAATATAGCTATCACCCTTACTTCTTTTCCCATAGATTAATTAAATTAGCATATGTCACTTTATTATTTTAAATATAGAATAGATGCAATGCGTTATAATTTTTGCATTTTCTTTTGCATACAATGACAACACAGGTTTCATTTCAACCAAAGACTTTACAAAATGTATTAAAAATCATTAATTTAGTTAATGAAACTTTAGATATATAGGTGTGGGTAATTTTTCCATATTAATTTTTGAAAAGGGTTATGTTTTTCTGATTCAACTAAATTCAACTAAGGATTTGGTTTTGTCAGGTATAGCCTATAGGCTAGTAGGTAATGGTGAGAAGTGACAAAAATGGACCACCAAACATAAATACTCGAGTTGTTTTACGTATGCAGTGGAGACATTCTGACACACATTGTCGAAGGAGCAACTGTGTTTGTTTACCATTTGCCACTTTGTTAAGAAAAAATGTCTAAAATCTCTGTGAATCTGCTAAATAATGGATGTGTGGATTAGACGAGTGAGGTGAAGTGAACT